CGTGAATGGTTATGGGAGTATTCGTGCCGTACATTATGCACGAACGACTGTTCTTGGTCCCCATCTGGAGAACCAAGGGGTTTGGCAACTCGAGCAGTGGAATGTGTACTGCTCAGACAAAATCTGGAGATAGGGCATCTGTTTCAGCGCCACTATCAAATAGGACAAAAGCGTTTACCCCGGCGATGTTAACCTCGCCGGTGAGCATCCACTTTAAGTCAGCACTGCGGTTTTCAGGGTATTTACCCGCCTCTTGCGAGATTCTAAACTTCGCGTCGAATATTGGTGGGATTTTCTTCAGAAGCTTGTTAGGCACTGAAGAACTTGTCACACTTTGCGTTGACAGTCTGCTGGATGAAGATTTTGGGACCGGTATAACACCGTCCCTCTTGTAGGTCTTTACTGCGTCGTCGACAAGCTCAGCTACTATCTGCTCATCAGATGGCAGTTTGTCCGCTTGCCGAGCAGACGCTAATTTAATGGAGAAGTTTTCGTCCGTGGGATCCACGAACATCATAGCACCAATGAACATGTCGGCGTCCACTTCTACATACTCCTCCACCTCAGTGAGGAGGTTGGGGTCGTACAGGTCGTCCACGAGTTTATCATCAAACACCTCATTGTCAGCCATATAGTCCTGCACCTCTGCAGGATCTTCAACACCTTCCGGTTCTTCTACAGGCTCCGAGTCCTGTAGGTCTCGTTCATCAGACTCGACTGCTATGTTGTACATGCATGGTTTGGGCTTGTCATGATTTGGGCAATCACGTTGATAGCCTACTTTCCTGCATTTATAACAATGCGGTTTCCCATCCTTATCCAAGGATGGCATCGATTTCGTCGCTGTAGACGACGTCGACTTCTCTGTTTTTGGAGCCGGCAAATAGCTTGCACGGAAGGTCGAGTGTTGTCTGCTCTTCAGAGTTGACGTGTTTCCCCTGAATGTGTTTTTGTACACTTTCTTGGTGGACAAAGAATCAGCAGCTTTTTTTGGTGCTGCTGCGGTGTTGGCTTGTTTTTGCATCATTTTTGACACGGCTGGCACTTGCGAGTTGTGACGATATGCAGAGATCACCTTAATTGAATCGTATGCATGGTCCAGGCAGAGCACAGCAGTCCACAACTCGTCTTTCGTTGTGTAGTCCACGGAAATTTTGTGGCGCATAACCATCTCCCGATGCATTTTGCCAGGGATGGCAATCAGGAAACGTTCATTGAACGTTGCCTGGTCAGGAGGCGTGACCACCCCCTCAGCTGCACGATACAGCTGGTTATAGAAGTGTTTGATTCCCTTTGCGGAATCGTATGAAAGCGTTTTGAACGCTTTCATGGATGCTACTGCTGCAGACTTCTTGATGAAGGTGCAGATAAGGATCTCTAGTAGATCCCAGAATGGGGGAGTTACCCAGTTCTGCACTCCAATGCATATATAGTGCATCAGGAGGTCTTGCACCTCGCCTTCAACGGCGGTTGTCAAAGTGTGGATGTGAAACTCGTTATAAGCTTCACCCTTCCACCCACACGATGACATATAGGCTAGCCAGGAGTGCAGCCAGTTGTGGAATATCTTCGAGTTATTCTCTCCAGACCATTTGATGGTCGGAGTCAGTCCCTGCATCTTTTTGAGCAGTTCTGGGTGTACATCTGCAGGCAGTGGCTGCAGGATTCGAACCTCCACACTTCGGCGTGCAGATTCAAGAAGCTGAGTCATGAACTCAGATGGATCAGGCACTACTCGTGCCGCAGGTGCTGCATATGAACGCATGGTTGAGTCAAACAAACCGGGTCATACAGACGAGCGGTTTGGAAAGTTGGATGAAGGCTCCCGTTTTGCTTCGGTGCCAAATGGGTCAAGAAATGGTGGGTTGGGCCAGGACGAGCCACCCTCGCCACCATCCTCGTCATCACCATCCCCACTCGGACAGCGGGGCCTTCTTCCCGAGTTAGACCTAACTTGGTCTACATGCCTCTTGCTCCCTTCTGGAGCCGCAGGTGGTTGTGAGAATCAGTGGTAGTTATCCAGCACCCGTCTGAGTGCTGTGCTGTGGGACAGTCTCTCGGGGTCTTCACCGTTTGCCCCATGACCCACATTGTATACGAATGCTACGTCTGCATCCAGACAGGCGTTAAAGTCGAAAGTAGATTTGCTGAGACTACACTTAGCGAAGATAGGTCTGACCTTGGCAGGCTGTCTGCCAATGTCATCTACACGATCCTGGATGTAGATTGGGCGTTTTTTCCGTGTGTAGTAATCGTACGGAACACTGGTGACTTCCGCATCACCATCTTCCTCCTGTATCGTCTCCACAGTGGCCTTCATCGGCACTGCTTTCTTTCTCCCATGGTCAGGAGGGAAATTACGCGTTTGAGTAGCGTCAACGCGTGGTAATTTCACCCCACCGTTCGTGGGTTGGGACGACAGAATGAACGGCACGGGCACGAAGCCTGGTCTGAAATGGAATGGAGAAGTTCCACTCTCCCCTGCAGTCGACAATCCAGCCAGTTGTCCTGGGTCGATCTCCCTACCTTTTCCCTTGGCGTCAGTGGTTACTGGCGCCGTCGACGGGGTAGGTGGCTTAGTTCCACTAAAGATGGGAACAAAACTGTCAGGGCACACCCGCCTGACCCGGCTCCACCCGGCCCAACCTGACCCGGTACCCCGCTGGTCCACCCTTCCTCACCTCCTCCCCCTTTCCCTTCTCTCCCCCTCATCCTTCCCTCCTCAGTTTCTCCTTATCTTACTTCTGCTTTATTTTCTCTTTATTCTACATGGACGACTTTCTCTGTATCAATGTACCATTGACCCATCTGCAGCACACCCACCATGTACCCGGCCCAGGCACCTCGGGCGACTCCCCGCTGTGCCCAGCACATGCGCCTGCACCGGATGCCCTCGGGATCTCCCACGGAGACACCCGGGTGGTTATGGCTGTGTGCGAGGGTGACGTGGCACCCGTCATGTGATCCAAGCCGCATGTATATAAACGAACCTGAAGTGGGAACCGAAGAAGTAGCCTTCTTCTCAACTTTCCACTTCAGGTAAGTAGTACAATATCTCTCCTTTAATGACAATAACAACTTTCCACTTCAGTCTAAGTGGCCAGGGACCGCTGTCCCGCATCGGGCCTGTCAGTACACATGCCCGATCTGCCCCCTGCCAGGCTCTCGGTCCCAGATGCTACACCCGGACCCCCTTGACCCCGGACGAGTCCCTGACATGCAGGTGGGTTATCCACCGTTGCTGCGGGTGGCTTTGGCTCGTCGTGTCGAGAGAGCGCGAGGAGAATTTCGTTTAGTTTCTCATTAAGTCTTTCCTCCACCTTAATGATGTTACAATCTAGACGAGCGATGTTATCGCTATTCCCAGAGATTTGGGTATTCATGTTACGGACATCGCCTCTCAAGTCGGCGATGTTGTCGTCGACTTGGTCAACGTGATTTCTTAGTACTTGCGCCGTTTCAGACGCGAGGGAGTGGGTTGGGGATGGAGGATGCAATGCGCGCATTGGGACGAATGCCGCGAGAGTCTCTGCTGCGAGGGCTTCAGACATTGTGACTTTGTCAACGTCTCTCATATAGGTGGGACGTGTCTGAGACGCATCCCTGGGCCCTTGCATGCCCAGATCACCACCATCACTTGAGGTGGTGTCGTCTTCTGCCCTACAGCCAGTGGAGGGGCCGGCCGTGTTGGCGGGAGTGTTGGACGTGCTCCTGGTGTTGTATCTCCACGACATCCAGAAGAGGTGTCGAGTCGTTCAACAAGTTCGCATGAGAACTTGATTGAAGTCATGTGTTGTCAGGGGCTGACGATGCACGCGTTGCCAAATGGGGTTTCGGTGCCGGTAACACGGTGCCAAGAATGGAAAGAGAATAATAGCGTAAAAAAGTGAAAGGTATCTTACTAGTTTGGGGATGGTAACGTTCCATTCCCCCGTTCGCCTCAGGCCTCAGAAGTCCGTCTAAGTATACGCTTGAGTTTGCTGTATATTAACGGGGTAGAAGTAAAGGCTGATCCGCCTTTTACAGCTACCCCGAGGGTTTATATACAATCTTATACATTCTCGGCACAAATAAATAGAGAAGCTTCCGCGACGCTAAATTAGCGTCGCGACATAATTATTACACAACACAACATCAACTGATGTTGTGGGCGGAATATAGACATGGGCCGGGGCCTCACATCAACTCCTTATATACATGATGATATGCTAAAACATGTGAGATGAGACCAGAGAAACATCCTAGTCATACAGGAAGTCTCAAACTACATGAGTTGAAATGGAACAGAACAAATGAAACCTCCATTAAATCCATTCAGGGTTACGGCTTAACCGTAACAGCACACATGTTTGCAGCACAGCCACATCCTCGCGGAAGTGCCATTTTCCCTTGCCTTGATCAGGCTAATCACTGCATAGACCTAAATTTCACACTAATTTAACAAATATAAAGCTCTAATAATAATTGTAATTTTTCTGTATTTTTGTGTGTATTGTATGTTTTGTCCAGTGTTGCACCATTGCACACAAGTGCACGGTTGAGATGTGCATTTGGATCCAATGTCCGATGATTTCTCACGGGGTGACGATGCGCAATTCACAACGCGCTTTCCCACGGAAAAAAAAAACGAACCCCCTCTGTAAACAAACACCTCACAAGCTCGGCCGGTCACGTTAAACTTTTGTGATCAAGGTACCTCTTCAGGGTAAAGTTTGGCGATGAACTCCGGCCCAGACAGGATGTAACTCGGGTATGAGATACCAGGGTTTGACTGGGAGATAATGGGCATTGGCACGACACAGACAAGGCAGGATCATATCTCTACGAGTGCTTCTGATAATTACACGGCGGACAGGACAATGGAGGCACATCTCTGAATTCATTCTCAAACCTCGGACAATAGAAACATCTGGAATCATGGCACCCACTTTGCACCCTAAGCCCCGGAGCTGATTGAACATGGGACAGGGTGTTTGCTCTAGTCACCAGAGTGATGCGAACTCAACAAGTGGCAGAAGGTTGATGCCCGAATCGAAGTCATCGCCTTTTTCAGGTTTGAGACCACAGAGCTAGCCACATGCAAATAATCGGCAGCCACGGACCGCACGGACGTGCAGAAGTGTCAAGCCCCCAAAAGGAACTTGACATTCATTAGGCCACATACGAGTTGGATGTCAGGACTTCAACAAGTGTATCAAGTCAGAGAACAGAAGTTTGTACACCTTTAGAAATTAAGCGCGTCCGTAAAGTCCTTCCTCTGCAAGAATTCTATTCCGTTCTTTCGGAAATCATCGGTGATGACATCGAAGTGCCCATTCCCAATTTGTAACATGCGGTGTTGCCTTCCGTACCTAGGCCAGGCACTTCATCAGACACAAGCAAAAAAAAAAAAGAAATGAGTCATAACTTTGTGGGAGAAAAAAAAAGTGAAGATGCAGGGCCGCTTACAGTATGGGCGATTAGGATCAAAGGAATTTGCGAAAGCGACCCAAGCGCTGACCATATATAACGAAGTTCTGCCCAGATCTAAGGTCCTATTCTGAAAGTCATACAGGCCAAATACTAATAGCACGATTGATGTTGAGTGACGGGATGAAAATCAGAAGCTGTGCAGTAAACCGTTGGGGAGAGGCTCACCGGACGGTACCTCACTTCCATGAAAGATACCCAGGTATGCTGGTACTCCCGGAGTCACTTGTGTATAAAGGTACGTCCACGCTGGATAATATACATCATGCTTGACATACGAATCCAGCAAAGCGCGTCGACCTATATATATATTTCCCACAACGGGCAAAAAAAAAAAATCGGCATCCACCGATTAAGCTACATATTCATTGTCCCCATTGGAAAGTCCCCCCCCCCTTGACGATAGATGATACGCACCACCATGGAAGATAAAATCCCCAAGTAAACTCGCAGCTCTCTTGAATTGATTATTCGGCCCAAAGAACCGGTCGTCCTTACTCACCCCGACCGGATCGTAGGGGCTTCCGATCGCGGGGACATCAGGGTACAACTCCAGAAGGATCTTGAAAAGCTTTCTTTGCTCTGGCGTTGCTACGCTGAGATTTCCAACGTAAGTCGATCCTGCACCCACAAGACAAAAACGGAATATAGTAGCAGCAGTGGTAAATTTTCTGCATATAAAGATGACACGGCACTTCTCCCTGCGGGGGAAATGCAGGAAATGGTCAAGAAAACTAACCTATGAGAAAATCCCCAACTTCTCCTGTAGTATTGAACGTGTGGGGTACGAAGAACGTTCCTTCGTCGAGATTGCATCCCGTGATGATAGGCACAGTTGCCACGTTACCCCTTCTCACCTCTTCTGCCGCACGTTTCCTGAAAAAGAACCCATCCACAACCCGGTTGAAAGGGAGCGCGTCGCTCGCATTCAATGTCACGAGTGATGCTTGGTAAAGTGATTCAGAAGGTTTTGAACGAAGGCATGATATGATCGAGGAATTGGATCCTGGGGGACAACCTGCTACTGCGGCAAAGATATCTGTTGATGGTAGGAGATCGGATACAGTGGGAATGGCGAGACTGGGGAATACGATGGTCAGGCTAGAAACTAGGGAAGTATAGGGACCGATGGGTGTGACACAATTTACCTTGCTGGAGCTCCGCTCTCCATGATGGCACCATGGAATAGATTGTGCTGTTTCACAAATTGTCCGCCTCCAGCAACGAGGAGAGACCCAATCCCAATCGCGCCTGCCGATTCGCCAAATACTTGTGACAGGTCGAAATTTCAAAATTCACATTGCTCATTGCAAATCGATCAGGAACAAACTTACCGGTCACTCGATCCTTGTTTCCTCCAAAAGCTCCGATATTCTCTTGCACCCATTTCAGTGCACTGATCATATCGTATAAGCCAGCATTGAGCGTTCCGATGGCAGAATCATGTGCCAGTTCAGGGGCTCCAAGGAAACCAAAGGCGTTTAGACGATAATTGAAGGAGACGTAGATGATAGATTCGTTCTGAATATTGTCACAACAGCATCATCCTTATGTCAGAAAATGGGGCTGAGATGCCGGAAGGAAGTACTCGTACCAGCACAACGCTTTGCCCAACGATCGCCGAGCCGTTATATAGTTGCGACGCACCATAAAGAAAACTCCCTCCATAGATCCAAACCATCACAGGGAGTTTTGCACCATGGGGCAAGTTCGAGGGTCGGAAGATATTGATAGAAAGGCAATCTTCTGACAAATCGGAGACTGTCAAGCCCGGGGCGAACTAAGAACGAATCATTCGCAAAAGGTGGAAGGAAAATCGCTACGCGAACAAGGGACGCACATCAAGCGGTTGAAAACATGCTTTTCCGTACTTGGTGGCGTCCACCTTGTGACTCGGATTCGGCTTCAGTGGTTGGGGCTTTGCAAACCTTAATTGGCCCAATGGAGGCTGAGCATAGGGAATGCCCAGAAAATAATCCTGATCGAATTGGGGCGCACTAAGACCTGCGACAAGGCCTTGAGCTAGTTGAACCTGAGGTCCGGTCGAGATGGGACATCGCGCAGTCAGTGACGCGCACCAGCGTACAAGGAGGGATGACTGACGAGTGGTAGTGAAAAAACAGAATAGCACAGTGAGGAAATCACGAGGAGAGCGTTTCTCATCGCTGTCTTGGTAGTCCCCACAGCTAGTCCTGATGTGATGTCGCTAGTAGAGGCCACTGCGTATCAATGGATAGCGCTCTGTGTTAAGGGTGGCGTATATTAAGCGTTTGCGCTTTCGCTGGTGCTGCGACCGCAGCTCTCCCCGACTACAAAAGGGGACAAGGAAATCATTGCGGACTGCGACCCAGCACGGTGTGATTAGTCAAATTCCGATACGGACGCGGAACCCGCGGCGAAAATCTATTGATGAATAGATATCTGTTGAAGGGACTGCGGTATTCCGAGGAGTGGTGGGGCAGGTCATCAGCCTCTATTAGAAGGCTTGTCATCAGGATAAGATCCTTATATAGTAATGTCCAACAACAGCTTAATTGGGTGGCTCGCAAGACTGAATTGGGTTCGTGGGGCTGGCCACGTGTGTACTCCGCAACTCTGCATATGGCATATTGCTTTCATACAACTGGTTGGTCGTATTTGGGGTCATCCTTTAAATCTCATATTTCTCATCCCCTGGTTGGTGTGTTCTAGTTGATCTGGATTCCTGGCGTGCTTGGTTTGTTATTTTATGGATCGGTCAACTGCTTAGTTATGTCCTTAGCCGTAGTTGTCCGAATGATATTGTAACATTGTAACTATGTAGGGTAGATACAAATTTGGCAAGGGGCGTGCATTACAGAATGGGCGGTTAGGATCGAGAGAATTCGCAAAGGTGACCCAGGCGCTGATCATAACTAACGAGGTTTTGCCCAGATCCGAGGTTGTATTCTGTATAGCGTACAGTCCAAATACTGTTTTATAGCCCACCCGCGCGATATTGATGAAAAGTTCAAAGTGAAGGGGGGGGGCATGTGAAAATAATCAGAGACCTGCTATGGCAGCGATGAAGGGCAAGAGGGGGTTGAACTGCAAACTCACCAGCCGGAAGCTCACTTCCGTGATAGACACCTTGGTACGCTGGTGTATCTGGAGTCACTTGGGTATAAAGGTATGTCCATGCCGGATAGAAACCAAAGTGTTTAATATACGCATCCAACAATGCGCGTCGACCTGAATGATATAATTCCCCCGCATTAGATAAGAAAAAATGAACGCCATTGGTTGTGTTCCACCCCCCAAATTCGATCAGACACGGAGTAGATAGGTACGCACCACTGTGAAAGACAATATCCCCAAGCAAACTCGCAGCTCTCTTATACTGATTATTCGACCCAAAGAACCGATCATCTTTACTCGCCCCGACAGGCTCGTAGGGACTTCCGATCGCAGGAATATCGGGGTACAACTCCAGAAGGCCTTTGAAGAGCTTCGTTTGTTCTGGCGTCGCTACGCTAAGGTTTCCAACGTATAACAATCCTACTGCAGGCAGCCCGCAACGGAACAAGCACAAAACCAAAAAGCCGGAAATGAATGTGTAAGTAAGCCATATGCAGACTATGGAGGATGAGACGTTGCAATTTGGTTTTTTTTTTCTCCCGCCGCGGAGAGAAATGGTCAAGGAACACACATGCACGAACCTCTGAAAAAATTCACTATTTCGTCCGCAGTGTTAAACGTGTGAGGTACGAATAACGTCCCTTCGTCAAGATTGCACCCCGCGATAATAGGCACATCCGCTACATTCCCCTTTCTTACCTCTTCCGCCGCGCGTTTCCCTTCCTGGAAAAAGAATCCGTCCACAACTCGATTATAAACGAGTGCGAGGCCCGTCGTCGCGCTTAACGTTACGAGCGAAGCTTGGTAAAGCATCTCAGACGGTTTCGAACGAAGGCATGATATGATGGAGGGATCGGAGGGAAGACAGCCTGCTGCAGTAGTGAAGATATTTGTCCAGGGTACGAGATCGGATACAGTGGGAACGGGGAGACTAGCGATGGAAATGGAATGATAATCAGACAAGGGACTTGGAAATCGGGGAGAAAGGAAGCAAAGGTATGGATGATTACAAATTTACCCTGCTGGAGCCCCGCTCTCCATGATGGCACCATGGAATAAGTTGTGATGTTTCACATAATGTCCTCCTCCAGCAACGAGGAGAGTCCCAATCGCAATCGCACCCGCCGACTCACCAAACACTTGACAGACTAAATTCAGATTATGGTAACCGCGAATCGATCGGAATTCATTACCTATCACTCGGTTCTTGTTTCCTCCGAAAGCACCAATGTTCTCCTGCACCCATTTCAATGCACCGATCATATCATGTAAACCAGCATTGAGCGTTCCGGTCGTGGAGTCACCCGCCAGTTCAGGGGCGCCGAGGAAGCCAAAGGCGTTTAGACGATAATTGAGGGAGACGTAGATGACAGGTTCGTTCTGAATGTTCGAGATATTGTCACAACAATGTTCAATGTCAGAAGATGGGGGCTGAGATGCTGGAAGGAAGTAACTACCAAGAGAACGCTTTGGGCGACGATCGCCGAGCCGTTAAACAGTTGTGAAGCACCCAAGTAAAAAGCCCCTCCATGAATCCAAACCATCACTGGAAGTTTCGTACCGCGGGGCAGGTTTGAAGGCCGGATGATATTGATGAAAAGACAATCTTCCGACAAGTCAGAGGTTGTCAAGCCCGTCAGACCCCCGAAAAGCTAAAGAACGAAATTATTCGCAAGAGTTTGGGGAAGAAAACGAGGGGAAAAAAAGGCTAACCGGTTGCAAACACGCTTTTCCGTAAGCGGTGGCGTCTATTCTGTGACTCGGATTCACTTTCGGTGGTCGAGGCTGAGAAAACCTCAGCTCACCCAATGGAGACTGAGCATAGGGAATCCCCAGGAAATAATCCTGGCGGAATTGGGGCGCGCTAACACCTGTGAGGAGACCTTGAGCTAGTTGAACCTGGGGTCCAGTCAAGTTGGTGGGGCGTGCAGCGTCGCGCCTCCAATGAGAAGATGCGAGGAACGGCCACCGCATACTCGCATACAAGGAAGGATGACTGATGGGCGATAGTGAAAACGCTAAACAACACAAGGACAACACCACGAGAAGAATTCTCATTGGTGCGTTGGCAGTCACCATAGCCAGCGCCTAAGTGATGTGACGTGTTGAACTCGCTGGCAAGCGCGAAACGTAAGCTGGCCTCAAGCTTGCTGTGTGGTCCCAGTTTTCCATTCTCTGACAAAGCGAGGATCGAGATGCAGGTGAAAGCAAGCCACTTGTGGTAAGGTTCTCGTATATCATATGTCCAATTTCACCAAACTAAGAGCATCCAACTCCATCCGAACTCGGTGGCTTGGGCGCTTGGGCGCCGCAGGGCCGAAAGCCTAACTGAATTAGGTTCTTGTGGGCCGGGTCCAAATTTGGACTAAGTGCCTTGGCGTCCATTTAACCGAGGCTCTTCCAGCCAATTGTTATGTGCCCCGCAATTCTCCGCAAATTGTTGAGTAACGACGGACCATGGGCAGCGCTGGTGCTTGCCAACCCGGACTGAAATAGAAGCTGGTACTTGTGCATCCTGAATCCCATATTACAAAGTTTGGCCATCTGATATGACAACGACCAAACTACGCTCATTCAGGCGGAAAGGAGGACACGTAACCGAGCTCCTCAAGGCATGACACTCGTTGACCCAAAGGTATGCTCATTGAACACTTCCGGCGCGATCCATGTCCTACCCTGTTGAGCTACCACTTCCCAAACGTTATCCACGCTGACTGTGGACATGATGAGTCCATCAGCAGCTGAAATTATGATATCTGAGCTAGCATCCGGCCCGACGGCCGCCATTCTTCGTCTGAAAAATAACTTGCCATCAAAGGAGAGAGGAAGACAATTAAAGCCGCCCCCGTATGGCCCGTCTTTGCCAACAACCCCATATATCACAAATCGAACCTCCATCGCCACATCTTTCCTATCCGGCAAAATAGCCCTCCTGCCCTTCACCTCTCCCAAGTGAACCATAGGACCTCTGTCATAAATGCCACTCGTAGCGTCCAGTCCCTCGTTTGTATATTAATCGATTGGGAAAGTAGGACATATCTCGCGCTTCGATAGTTTCATGGAGGTACAGTCGCGCGAGAAGATCTGCTCGGCATCATGGCTTTAGAGTGCGAAATTAAGTATGAATCCCAGAAAGGTTTGAGCGAGATGAGTTCTTAAAAACAAGACGTGAGATCGGCAATTTTTTTTGTTTACTCACCTAACGATCAGAAGGTCCAAGACTCTCCAATGACCTGATCACTTTACTCCCTCCCAACCCGATCGTAGTTTTACATCTGGCGATCGATCGTCGGAGAAATGTGGCAATTGTCATGTCAAAGGGACCAGCGTCAGTCGCCGAATTGGGAAATGAAAGGACCAGTTAACGTGGACTATACGGAGGTGATGATAAAATGTGGATAGTCAACCTATGACTCATGATGGGACATCGGAACGCCAAAACACAAACTGCTTGGAGCTCAAAGTTGACGGAAAACTCACCCTCAAGAAATCAGCGATGAACGTCAGCGCTCGACGCATTCACAACCATGGCACCACGGACACCCAGGTAGAAGGCCTCGTTAGGTACCCAAATTGAACTTTCGATCTCCGGCCTAACAGGCCTAAATGCATATGAACGTTCTAAGGCTCGTTGAACTTTCTCTTTTGTATTGATTTGAACATGTAAAACGTTCATCACGAACATTTAGAACGTTCTCTGACTGTATAGAACGTTCAGCAATGCCATAGAATGTTTTATACTACCTGAGGGATGCCCTAACCGTCCACATACTCATGGAGATCGTCCTCCGCATCGTCAGCGTTGTCTAAATCACATTATTATTGGCTATGGTACGCAAACGTATATACATGAATAGAAGTAATGCGCAATATATGACAATCGGTGCACGCGCAACCGTGAAAGTGTAGAGTATTTGGTGCTACGTGATAGACAGCAGCTAACGGAATTTATCTCGAAGGTTAAAAAGTCGAAATTTCGAAGAGGAAAGAGTGAACGGGATATGATAAAGGGTATGCGGATCAGGAGCCTTGTGAGGGATCATGAACTTCCGCAGAGAAATCAAGACCTGAGACTAGCACACCTTGGGGATTGGACGGGGATGGCATCATGAAGGTGGCATCTTGGGGATTGGACACAGACGGCGTCATGAAAGTAGCACCTTGGGTATGAGACACAGACGGCATCATGCAAGTAGAATCATACCCATGGTGTGCAAACGGAGACCAGCCATTATTAAATCCCATTCCGTGGCTAACAAAGGGCACCACCCCAGAAGGACCGAGATATGGATGTACCCCTCCTGCAGCTGAATTCCCTTGCAGCGCAGGACCTGGAAGTGACTGCCCCATTACTTGGTAATGATGTGGGCCTACCGACCCAGTGGGCGGCTGCCAGTCCATATCGACAGAGATGGGATTGGGGGGGGTTGTCGGAGTGCTGGGTGTTGCCAGCCTGGCCCATTTCTTCATCAGGGCAGGCTGTTTCCCGGCAGCGCGTCGGCGAGGGTTAGGAGGTGGGGTGGAGTCCTCGACATGACCATGACTGTCATTGTCACTTGCATCCTCTCGTTTGCCTAAAGATGGGTCCTTCGCTTCTTTGAAAGAAATCAGGACACGGCCTGTAGTGCTGATGATAATCCCGTCGTCGTCGCCGTACTCGCTGCGGTTGAACGCTCGAAGAGTGGGCCTGACATCGGCATTTTCATGGAAAAATGCATTCCAAATGACCCGCCACTGTGCTGTGCCAACATTACTGACATCCTGGTCCCAGAACAGCGATTTCCAGTCTAAGCTATCTGGCCAGTTAATGAGAGCAACGTCTGCTGACTGAAATTTTTGAGGAAGTTTCTTCCAGTCAATGCGCCTGCAATTCTCGGCATAGAGAGACCTCCGTTTCATCATTTGCATAAGATAGTCTGAGCACACCGATCGATAGTCTTGCTTTTTCGTGGGTTCAGGAGGTTGGTGGTTCTTCCCGTTCGGGGCACGAGCGCCACCGTGGCCAATCATGGCATTAACATTCATAGCGATTTGATGAAGGGCAACCTTGAAGTCAGGCATGATGCCTTTCAGGTAGTTCGTCAACGTCGGAGTACCACAATAGATTTTGTCCAGCTGATGGGGCATGGGCTCGCTGCTGCCAGAAACCAGGATGATGGCACAATGCAAACCAACCGCTGTGGCAGCATTGACTTCCTCAACAAGTCGCTTCGACCAAGTTTTCATGACTCGTTTTTGAACTTGGCCGGCACTACCAGTGAGTCCGTCCGTGAACTGGAGCTTGCTTTCCTCATGTCGAAACACAAGGTTACGGGAGTATTTTGTCCATTCCGATGAATCTTCGCCACCGTGGCTCTCAACAAGGGCTTGGTAAGCAGGCCTGACTACTGTCCTCGTATATTCAGCAGCAGAGATACTGTCGGGATCCGGATTTGGGTGCGAATCAAGGTAGGAAGCTTGGAAAGCATTCCACACATTCCCGCGGCTTCGATGCTGCTTCTGCGTAAGGATGAGATTGACAAGAGCGAGGATGGAATCGAATGTCCGATTTTTGGACTTCGCAAATGCATCAATCTCCCTCAGGAAGCCCTGGGTAATCCCTTCAAGCTCCGCCTTTTCCGATTTGTTGAGTCAACCACCTTTTAGCTTCGCACTGAAATCATCATCTATGCCGATGGTTCCCAAATCCGCTTTGTCATGCTCACTCAAGGCATGAAGATCGCCCTTGTCAGAGGGGTTCAAATCACTGATGAGATTGAGAGTCTCGGAGGGATTGCCGGTATATGTGGCTGGCACGTCGATTGTACTGTGGGTGGGGGACGACAGAGTCTCATCATTGATGCCGCAGGCTACCATGTCGCCGTTGGGAGGCAGAGATGTATGGACGTCGCAATGGGTATCCTTTGTAACATCACCGGCCCCACTCTGGGCAGACGATGGTGGAGTGGGACAGTTGGCAGAAATTTCAGACGGCAGAGTGCCACTGCCACTGCTGTGACTGGGGGACGACGACATAGCGACATTGATGCCATGGGGTACTGCGGCAGGTGAGTGCATGATACTTCCATCGCTGCATGCGGCTGCTGCAGTGCGGGAGGATGGCTGCGCTCTGCCAGGAAGTGTCAAGGTCGGTGTGGGTTGTACAACAGCGTCCAACGACACTGTCGTCACAGCACTGGCAGAGAGTTGGATTTCATTGCTGGTACCAGGTTGGACATCACCACCGTCAGCTGGAGGGACGGTAATAGACGAAAGCGTAGACGAAAGCTGGGTGGTCGAAGTTTGGTTGGTGCCATCAATATCTTTGCCTACGACGACATCACACCCTGCAGCACCCGCTATGGCAGTACGACAATTTGAGGTGTTTGTCTTCTTCGACCCTCTCTTGCGGCCAGTAGCTTTGGCGTGCATGCGGGCGGATCGACGAACCGGTGGAGCAGGATCAGAGGCTGAAGTTTGGCCCCTTCGCAGTATGAGTTTAAGGCCAGAATTCGACGATGCCATCAGAAGGGCAGCGAGCACGAAGCCAAGGCAATCAATATGAATGTGTGGGCAGATAAAGCGAAGATAAATCGAATAACAGGCAGTGAACGTGTGGTGGATGAAGCGAAATCGCTCTCGTTGGGTCGCAAAATGATTCTCGTCCAGGTGCAATATTATTAGGCAGGCAGTCCAAAGCTCTGGCAATCTATGAGTGGGCAGAAATAGCGGTCAATATCTCCGTCTTCATTGCATTCTCTTGACGTACATTTGGGAACAAGACCGTTGTCGTTGGCGAGAAACTGAGTTAAATTGAGCAGGTGAAGGCGCTTTCGTTGTTTAACGAAGCTGCTTCACTAGCCAGGAACTAAGTTAATCTGGGCAATCCAGAGACTTTATCAATCTACAAGCAGATAGGAACGGCAATCAATAGACCAATCCTGTTTGTATTCTGCCTGTTCGAGACAATATGGTGACTTCGAACAACGTTTCATGTGATCGATATAAACAAAGTGCAACAAATATAAACATAGTCATACTCCACATGAACAAACGGGGGAACAGGAGAGGGGATGTGTGGGGGCGAAAGTAGGGAAGGGCAAAGGAGAACATTATGACTGGATAGGCTTGTAATACAGCCCTTGATTTACATTCAGTTCAACTGTCACCATCCATTTCCCACTTCTCGTATATGACAAGGTTTCAAATCTCTCCTCAACCATTGCCTTATTGCGAGCCTCGGCATGCATGGATCCAAAAATCCTTCGAGAAATCAGGCACAGGACAAGATCCGCATCTCCTTCACTTGGCCATATCTTAAAGCCACTAAAGTATGGCTTTAGAGTGTCTTGGCTTTTGTGAACAGCGACCCAAGCTTGCACGATGAGCAAAAACCGTCTCCGGCTTCGTGCAGATACCTTGTTTTTTAAAAGGGTGTCTTTCTGATTCAGGAAGTCCTTTATTGTGTCTGTCATGAAGGAAAGGCATACCATGGTACGCAGGGGTGGTGGATCTGGGGACAATGATACGAAGGGGGGAAAGTGCTTATAATCCAGAAGAGTTTCTGCGATGTTATCGCGGGTGAGACGGGGTGGTGCAAAAGAGGGATCAAGCCATGCATCAAGTTCTGTTGATGAGCGGGCTTCTTCATAGGCAATAGCGACATATTGAAGCTCGATATGGGAATAGAAAGGAGCTAGTGTGTGATGCACCTCATGTTGCTGCATAAGGGCTTTCCCCGGGATCATTGCCCAAGAATCCGGATCTGGATGATTGTTTAGGACTTGCAGCAGTGCCTGAGCTTTTCTACGGCACTTGAGCAGCAAAGAAACACGCAACTTGCCACCAACAGAGACCTTCGAGGCAGGACGGGAAGCGCAGACACCCCAACAACGAAAGCTGTCGACCCACAATAACGGCCAATCAGCATCCTTCTGATAGTCATCCATGTCTAGGGGCACAAGGAGTTCAAACCACAGGTCCCTGGGAACAGGTTTGAAGTCAATAACGCTGGGAATGTCCGTCGATCCAGAAGTTGAAGGGGGATCATCAGCGTGTGTCAAGTTGGGGCCGGAGTCCCCACCGACGTGGAGGTCGTCAGCACCAGTGCCCAAAAGAACAGAGGCTGCTGACATCGGACGCTTTTGCGGGATGATGTTGAGCGGGCCCCATAGCGAACCGCCCTCACGCAAGATGAGCTGTGAAGTGGATAACCGTGACCGTGAAGACGGTCTTGGTTGGGTTGGGGAAGGGCATGGAG